TAAATAATGTTAAATAGGGTTTCAAAAAAGTGGCACGGAAGCAAACAATTCACCTGTGGGATGACGAAAATTCGTTTTCCAGAATCAGCAATAAGAACATTATAAGGAATGTTGTTTTCTTGCAAGCAAATGCAGGAGTCAGAGACGACATTGGATAATTCCTCCAGAGTATTTCCACCCTCAAAAACAAGACCTCTGACTGGATAATTGAGAATATCACAGAATTTCACACCCCTACTTGTAGTGGTTATCTTCCTAGTGGGAGCCCTTTCAATGGGGAATTGCACAGCTAAGTAGTAGGCCTGTTGTCACAATAATTATACAATTTCTGTTGAGATATGAACAACTTAAACCAATAATTAACTTCATGGAATACAAAGAGAAATGACAGATAGAAACCTGGAAATGAAGGTGGTTGATGGTTGCAAATGCACCCAAGCTATTGTAACCCAAGCGGAAGTAGGGGTTTTCGGCTTCTGCAGCCATGTAGAGCGCAAGCAAGAAGCTGTCCCGATCAATCCTTTGAGGCAAGCATTCAAGAATCCGAGGGATTAGAAGAACATGTCCATATTCAATAGGACTAACCTATATATTTATATACACCAAAAGTTAACAGCCTGCCTACTACAAATTTCACCAAAACACCTTCGAATAAGATAAACCAACGAAACAGATACGTACATTGATGGCAACAACGCTAGGAGAATTCTTGATATGAACAGGTGCATTTGGAAAGAACTGGACTTCATTGTTCATGCTTGGTTCGAATTGAAAGAGGACTTCCTCTTGCCCAACCTTAGTGAAGTTGAACTTATTTTCATCAAAGGGCTGCAAGACCTTATCAACTCGAAACTCAGTTGGTCTCTTCTTGAGGTGCCTGCCTTCATTCAGTTGAGCAATAAAGCCATACAGACCCCGAATCACCTAAGTAAAGCATCCACATACAATTAAACGCAACAAAGACACACAAAGCAACTACAGAAAATGTTTGTTTCCACCGATACACCAAATTTGCACAGAAATTAAGATGGAAAGTGACTAAAAAAGACACCTTGGTTTCGCAAGCAGTGACATCATAGCGAAAGAGGCCTCTCTGCATCCTATCCTCCCACTACCACGAAATAATAGTAATCTTAGATTAATTATACGAATTTGGGTTTAAAAGTGGTTAAAATAAAACTCAAGCATGAAGTAAATTTCCAAAATCTTTACCTCCCCAAGAAGAAGGGAGTCCAGGAAGGGAACAGGAGGCTGTTTGTTTTCAGAGCCGGCTGATTTCTCTTCAACTTCAATCTTGTTCATCTTCTTGAAAGCATACATAGGCAGCTTTGCCCCTAATTCAATCAAAATACGAGTATATTCATAACCCAATTTTGAAATAAAAAAATTGCCAATTTTTCTTCAATCAAAAGAGTCTAACGGATACCTGGAAGACAGCAGCTTCTCAAGCAATTGCGGCCACAGCCGCCGGCATGGCGAGAGTCTTCGTCCGCCTCTTCCTTTTGGAAATTGGAAACAATAGTAGGAACTCTCTTGATCCTTAGCATCATCTTTAGATCTCTTAATATATATACTTTTCTTCAGCAATTACAAAGAAGACCCACAAACCCCAAACGTCCAGATCCTTATCAAATTAGGCAATAATCAAACTGTATAATATAATTCTACAATATTTACAGAAGAGGTAAGCTAATAGTATAAACCGCCGCCGGCAAGGAAGAGGAGGTCAGAAGGACTACCGCCTTCAGAAGGCAAAGCGCCACGTCCGCCGTGCGGCAAATGGTTGGTCCCAATCACACAACCCTTGCTACGTACATACCGGACATGGATTACAGACCGATTTACTCTAAGTATAGCCGTGTTGTCTACAACTTGTCTTCCCCGGGTTTTACCCAACCTTAAACGCCTCTCAAAACCACCGCAGAATCGCCAGCGACCTCAATTGAAATCCACCTCTTCAAAAGAAAAAAAACTCCAAAAAGTTTTC